GCTCTGTGGCTGCCTCCTTTGGCTTCCTCTGAGCTCTGCATGGCAGGGAGCCAGGGAGGAAACAACTCCAGCCCTGGTGATAGATGGGGGGGAGAGGCACGGTCATTCCCCGCCCAGCATAGCCAGCTGTTCCAGAGGGAGGGACGGATGGGAGGAGTGTCTGGAGGAAGAGACGGCCTGATTTTGCCCAGTTCTTGCCCAGCGTTCCCTCTTAACGTTATCCATGCATGTGCAGAATAAATTTTATGTGAGCGGAGGCAGGTGCGGATGTGCACCACCGGTGGAAACGTACACTGACGGCTGTGAGTGCTGTGCTAATCCGCTGGGCAGCATTTGAATCTCTCTTGGGTGGCCGCCCATGCACTCAGCTTACATGAAAAACTGCTATTGCACATTGCAGGCATTTTCCCTTCATTGTAAACGTTCTCTTTGCCTTCTAGTACCCTACCCACTGCACAGAGCAACATGCTTTTCCTTATACGTCCCCTCTCAAGCAAAGACACGAGCTTGTGCCCTATTTTGCTTTGTGCCAATAGAGGAAGGTGGCCTAAAATGCTTCCCATGCTCCCTTGCTGGTGATTTTCACCTTATAGATTTTGTCTAGTCTGATAGACATTATGGGCAGGGTGCCAAATATAAACCAGCCATAAATGCAATACTGTCCGTGTTCCCTGTAAGCTGTGCCATTGTGAGGCTGCTCAGGGGAGAGTCAGATGCTGCCCGGCTGATCAGCAGAGTGCCCACCTAAGTTTGTGTTTTTACGGGTGGTGCACATTTTCACACAATATAAACCAGCCATAAATGCAATACTGTCCGTGTTCCCTGTAAGCTGTGCCATTGTGAGGCTGCTCAGGAGAGAGTCAGATGCTGCCCGGCTGATCAGCAGAGTGCCCACAGCTAAGTTTGTGTCTTTACGGGGGGTGCACATTTGCACATGCTTTGGTGCAGCTAGACAAATTTATTCCACGCATTGATGAAAAAAATATTCACATGGATGGAAAAGATGAGGGGAAACATTGAATGCGATGATTCCCAAAGATACTGCGGAAGGTTGTTATATTTGTCATAAGCCACACACCCTGACAAGTTTAATGTACCCAAGTGCCGCAAACACTTGGAATCGGAACTTTAGCTAAAGCCTTGAGATTGATCATTCTTTCGGGAGTGTCTCAGGTTTTCATTTAGCTGCATTGTCCAGCCGATCAGCACAAACCTAAACAGATCAGAACTTAAAGCAACACCTGTCTGTCGTCCTGTGAGCCAGAGGAGCGGAGCAGGTTCTGAAAGCTCAGTTGGTTGCTCTTTTGAAGAGCTTCAATTCTGGGCAAGAATTAAAGGCTGTGTGTTTCTCAGCATTGTGTGCAGCTGAAGCTAGAACTGAACAGAGATGGGTGAGTCTCAGAGGCCCTTGCTACAGCTGATCTGGGGAGGAGCACCATGGAAATACTTACAACCTCCCTAGTCCGGCACTCTCTGGTCCAGCAACCTCTGTGGTCTGGCATGGTATTCGTTAGCCAGATGTCCACTTATCATGAGTGTGGCCAAGTTTCCCACAGTCCCATAAAGTTTGTTTGTAGCCAACAGTCCTGGCTCTCAGTGTTCTGAGCTGTGATTTAGGTCTAATTTACCCCAAAATGTCTTCTAAGTGCCTAGCAAGCAGTAGACATGTGGGTAGTGCTGCTAGACAATATTGACCTCGTATGATTCAGCAAATTCTCTGGCTTGGCACCAGTCAGGTCACAAGGGTGCCGGATTAGAGAGGTGCAATCTGTACTAAACAGTAAGATTGAGGCTTTTGGGGCGGGAGCCCAGCCAGCCATGGAGGTGGCCCAATGGCACTGAATTTGACAGCCGGTGAGTCTGTTTGTGGCTATGTATTTTCTCAGTTCTAAATCTCTGGTATTAGAGTGCCAAGTGCAGAGGGATCGCCAATGGAGATCAACCCAACAAACCCACAGAGGTCAAAACCAGTGGAAAAGTCAATATTTCCATCCCTTGTGGGTTTAATTTGTTATGGGGGGGAGGGGGATCATATGGTCCCACAGTTGCAGAGAAAACCAGTGTGTTGGAGCCAACTGGAAATACAGTATTTCAGGGTCTTTAGGTTAGAATGGAGGAGATCAACTCAACAAACCCACAGGGGTGAAAACCGGTGGAAAAGTCAATATTTCCATCGCTTTTGGGTTTAATTTGTTATGGGGGAGGGGGATCACATGGTCCCACTGTCCAGAAACTGATGTCAGGTTTTCTCACTGTAGCTTGTTGAACTGGGTCCAAAACAGCCCAGTCAAGATGGTCTCCGCTAAAAGGAAAAGAAGGGGATGAAGTCAGGGCAGGCAGAAGTGCGGGTGGGAAGGCATGATGTGTCCGTGGGTATGTCAACACTGCAAATCAATATGTCACTGTAGCATCACGCTAACCTTAGGCCATGTATTCACTAAACAGAAGATTGATACTGTTGCAATCAATCATCCGAGTTTGATTCAGCAGGTCTAGTAAATACCAGCTAAATCAAACTCAGAGGGTGCTCGCCCCCCTCACCCCCCATCCACAGCCAGGACTCCTGCAATGAGTAAGGGAAGCAGGCGAGAGTGATGATGATGATTTTACCCGTTGGAGGAGTGCTGCAGCTATCTGCTGTGGCACGGGGCAGCTGTTGCAGAGAAAACCAGTGTGTTGGAGCCAACTGGAAATATAGTATTTCAGGGTCTTTAGGTTAGAATGGAAAAGTAAACTGTAGCCACATGGCCACGCTGACAGTGTTAACTACCTCTCTGGTGCAGAGCTTCTAGGATTTCATCTGTTTGCTTCACATTCTCTGTTTACCCTGCTCTATCACAGGGTCTTTCTGTGTCCCAGATGAAGGTGGTGTTATAGTGTGGGGAAATATGGCAGCGTGGCTGAGTAGTCTAGAGGCTAGCCCGCACTGACATCCAGACTGTCATCTGGATTGTTGACATCCAAACCAACATCCAGACCGTCATTGTTATCTATGCAGGCTAGATTGAGGCCAGGCCTAAACTAAAAGGGAAGGTCAAATCAAGATATGCAATACCAGCTATGTTGATTATGTAGCTAGAATCGATGTAGCTTTGTTTTCCATTTCCCTGCAATCCCCACAGTGAGAAATAGAAGTCCTGGCTGCTGATAGGGGTGCCCTCTAAGTTCGATTTAGTGGGTCTTCACTAGACTCACTAAATCAAACTCCAGAAGATTGATCACAGAAGCGTTGGATCTTCCGTTTTGTAAAGATGTGGCCTCAGGTTAGTGCGTGAATGCCTGCTGGTGTTACAGTGACACATTGATTTGCAGTGTAGACATATTCACAGACACATCACACCACCCCAACCCCTCTTCTGCTTTGCCCTGACTTCATTCCCCTCTTTTCCTTTTAGCTAAGCCCGTCCAGAATAAAGCCACCAAATAAATATCGTGGTGCTAACATGACCTTTGCTACTGTCCCTCTGTTCACCTTTCCGGAGGCTGAGTAGTCTAGAGGCTAGCCCGCACTGACATCCAGACTGTCATCTGGATTGTTGACATCCAAACCAACATCCAGACCGTCATTGTTATCTTCCACAGTTCCTCGGGCAATGCCTGATTTAATCGTAAATAACGCCCTGGGTGGTAGCTGGTCCCCACCTGCCTCGTTGGGGCTTTGTTTCACATTTACTGCCCAGCTGCTTAAAAGTTTTGCATCCCTGGTTGGCAGTTGTTATAGGCTCACCCTCCAGTTATAGGCCCTCTGTTCTCTGTCTCCAAGATACTGTCATGTGCTTTGTGTACAATGTGGGTAGCATGGCTGCCCCTCACAGGCCAGACTGTGGGACCACATATGGACTGGAGACAGAATTTGCTTTATAGAGAGACCCACACCAGGAAGAAGGAAGTTTTTAAGGGGAGAGGGATAGCTCAGTGGTTTGCATCTTGGCCTGCTAAAACCAAGGTTGTTAGCTCAATCCTTGAGGAGGCCATTTAAGGA